GTGATGTTGAAAGGTACATCCTCTGCATACATCTGGTGGGATATTGATTTTTCTCTTTATAGACTTTTTACTAGTCACAGCACCTGTTCCACTAACTAGTATTACAGTTGCTCTTAAGAAGTGATTATGTTAATTAAACAATAAAAAAGACAATAAAGTTGCTAGGAACCCTAAGATAGAGGCTGGCTGGCACTAATTTAACAATTGTGGGGCCAGCCAGCACAGGCAAGGTCATATGGTGTCAAGCCCAAAAGAGCAATATCTTGTCAGAAAACTAGAGGCTGGTGTGAGGGCAGGGAAGGAGCTAGCTGAGGAAACACTTATTTGGAGGATGGGGTAGGAAGGAGTCCAGGAGGATTTCCCTATATTCCAAGTGTTGCACATGAGACAAGTGTGCAAGTCACAACTTGGGCTTCCCACTATATGAGTTTTGTTTAAGAAATTTGGAAGCTTGTTTGATTTCCATGCAGCAGATCTCTGGGAAAGCTGTCTTTTTCTTTTTTTCTTAAGGGCTGTCACTTGGATTCTGCTGGCAATTACACTAACATCTTTAAGAGGTTCCCACCAAAGTTGATTTTTCCTTAGGAAGTTGCCACCATGGTTGATTTTCCTTTGAGGTTTCTCTTTTTGCTTTACTGACCCCAGATTGTGTGTCAATGACAGATTTGAAGCAAGAAATTCTGAGATTTGTCTTCTGCACACTCCATGCCCATTGTCCCCAGCTCTGACTTTTACATCCTGGAAACACCCTACAGGTTTGTCACAGAACTCTCAGGGGATTTGGAAGTCAAATTATAAAACATTAAGGAAGAACACAGAGAACTATAAAAACACTTCAGTCATTAGGAGCAAAGTGGCAGCACGCAGTGTTAGAGTATGAATCCCTCCAATTAATTTTCCTTTCAGAGCACTCTTTGTAACATTTTTAATTCTAAGTTTGTATGACTTCTTTGGCAACGTTAGTTGTGTCTTCCAAAAGAAAAGAAAACCTTTGATAAACCTTCTGAGTCTCTTGAATAAACAATTATAGTGCCCTGATTTTTTTTGAATCCTCATAACTGGGAAAGGTGGTAGTCGGAATGTACATTTGCAAAAAGTTTGTGGCTTACATTAATAGTTGTTAAGGTTATTAAATGAGATGCTTTTCAGAAGCTCAAGTAATAAGCAGAAGCAAAACATAAGCTCTCTGTACAGTGAATATAAATAATTCTTTCTGTGGCTCCAAGTATTTCTTACAATTTTATTATGGAAAGTGTTAAACTGAAAATCATATTGCTCCTTTTAAAAGCATATTTTTGTCTGTTTATCCATACAAAACAGACCAAAATGTAAATCTATAAAATGCTTTCCATCTTCAAAGCAGCTCTTTATATTAATCTAAATTCTGAAATCTTTTTGAAACTTTCATTTTTATTTCTGATTTTGAGATTCAGTGTCACTTAGCACATTGAATGCTGCTGGCTTTGAACATACAGTATGGCACAAAGTGATAACTTGTGCCCGCTACCCTGCTGACAGGCAATTCTAAAGGAAAAGTGTTTTTTATGCTGGAGTTTTGGCCAATTTTAGAATTAGGGGAAATATTAAAGAGCATAACAAAATACTTTAATTCCTCTATACACCACTAAATTGCTTGTTGCCTTATTTGTCCAGTTAACAGCAGAGGTTGCTTTCTGAAACCTCTGCTGTTAACTGGACAAATAAGGCAACAAGCAATATTTTTCACTGGAACTACTAAACCCACTAAGTTCTAATGCAGGTGACAGATAAGTTTTGCAGTAAATAATGGTATTCTTGACTGGGTCTGTGCACACTCACAGAAGCATATGTAAAAGGGGAAGAATATTTGAATTATATATGAGAAATGGGCTCCCTATAATTTATTATGTCATAAGGTAGAAGGCAAAAGACTGTTTGGATTTCTGGCAAAACCTGGGTGAACCTGAAAAAATGCTGTACTTCAAGGTATTTCTACTGGAATAACTGGATTAACTGTAGTTACCATAAAACCTGATGCTAAATCTGAGTGTAGCATATTCCCTTAAGCAGGACAAGTAGATGCAATACTTTGAATTGGAAATGAAAATTGTATTGGTGGTACTTGAAAGTATCAGTAGGACTGTGCAAAGCATATTTTCTCGATAATGTTTTTTTCCTGTATTTTCTAACACCTATTTTTTACGTTCTCTCTTGTTCTGACTGCTGGGTGGTACCTGGTATCTCACTGCTCTCTTGTACTTGGACTGTGTCTTGCAGGTAGGCAGTGTATCATCCCAGATTCTTACAGGGCATTCAGCTTTATTAGATTACCCAAATTACTACAGGTCACAGCTGAGATGCATTAGAGGAATTTAATAGGAAATCTTGCCTCTGCTGTTCTTATGGCTTCTTATTGCTTTCATAAGAAGTGAGGGAGATTATTGAAAGACATATTTATAAAATAGCCAGTGCAGTGCAGCTACACTCCAGGTTTATGCCAAATTAGGTGTTGAACCTGAATGAATTCGGGCATCTGCTGCAGTGCAGATTACAGGTCACCCTGTGACCTCATACAGGTAGTTTGGCCTCCTCCTGCTTTGTTTAATCCATCTACAAAATTGAGAAAAACAAGGACCTCCATGAAAAACAGGTATGCATCTGGGTACAACTGCCCTGGGTAAATAAATTATAAAGAAGGCAGAGGCTCAGCTGAAGGAATAATAAAGGAAATATAAGGAAAGGAAATATCAGTCACTTTGTCTCCTACACACATTTATCATTAACTTAGTAGTGTGTGGTGTGTTTATTGGGTGTGTTTAGTCTCACTGGACTTGCAGCAGAACAGATCTGGGGTCATTGTCTTCCCCTGCAATTCAGTGTAAGAGAAGCACTATGTGGTTAGGTTTATTGGAGGGAACATAGGCACAGGCTTTAGTGGCTTGTGAATGAATCAATAAAGCATGTTCCTGTAGGTTTCTGAATTGTCTCTTTCATTAAGAATGGAATTGGACAGCAGAAGATTGATTTCTGAGGCAAATCAGACGGGGTTTTTTAGACCTTAGTTTAAACTGTGGGTTTTTGAAGTAAGAAAGCGCCATCAAAAATATTATACAGGATTGAAACTGCAAAAAAGATCATAAATAGTTTAAATTTCCTTTTTCAGAAGATCTTTTTTAACTCACAATTACATGAGACTTGATCTTAAGCAATGCCCAGAGCTGACTAAATGAGTGGCAAAATGCTGAGGTCCCACAGCTGAGGATCATGGCTTACAGAGTACTGGACATAGTGTTAGTTAAAAGATACTTGGAAGGGCAAACATTCACAATGTTACTGCAAAGGTTATAACTGAGATTTGTGTTGCTTACAGCAGCTCTTGACAATGAAGTGTGCTGTGTGATGATTATACAGGTATGGAACAATCTTAAGTTTTGGCAGAGAGCTGTTTGATTCTGCTTATTTTTGCAGCATCACCGTATGGCTGTGAAATTCTGAGGAAACACCTTTACAGATGTGGTCTGTCTGAAACTTCTTTTCCTGCATGGCACATCCAGGCTTACTTGAGTGTGGTAGTGCACCTTGACAGTGTTGTTTTAGGACAGTATAATTTGCTTGTAGATAACAGTGTCCATCTTGGGTGCAGGGCTTTTAGTGCACATATGTGCCTTTATAGCATCCTGAATCAGTTTTACTTTCATGGACAGAAAAGAGCAGTGATGTATATGCATTTCTTAAGTTTTAATAGGCTCATCAAGTCAAAATTTGTATTTCCAAATCCTCAGGGAAATGAAGAAACATGGATGAGCCACAGTGCTGATTCTAGACAAAAATTAGCTGAATCTAAATCAAGAGCAGCATCAACAGTAATACTTAGAAGCACAGAGCTTTATTAAGAGCTGATAATTTGCCAGGCATTGCTTTCCACATAAGCAATGTTGTAAGATGTTGGCTATCAATATGGAATATGTTGCTACATATTCCAAAATGAGTTTAAACCAACGAATTTATCACAAGATATGTCATCACATGTTACATCAACTTAGCTCTAGCTTGCATGTGCATACCTGCAGAGGATAATGGTGTTTTCTAGTAATTCTTTTGAGAGGCAGTTACATTAATTTTCTAGTAATTGTTATGTAGTAATTACAAGCTACCTACATATAAAGGGTTTATGAATTATTCTCTGTTTGGTGCAAACCTGAATCTCGATTCTGCCCTTTTGCCTCCTCGCTGGGGTCTTGTGTAGACATCCTCCCCAGCTGACTGTAGAAGCATGTTTATACCTGAAAGGTGCCCATAAATGCTACACATACAGAATTAAAATGTTTCTGTTGTGGTGCAGTGATAGATGGTGGTGATACAGGGCCCTAGCGGGGATTTTTAGTTCAATTTTCTGTTATACAATCACAATTTGTGATACTATTTTTGCATTGTTGTGTCACAGTCAGGGACTTACTAAAGATGAGCAAACTCTGCAGGATCTAGAGGCCTGGGCAAGATACCCAAAGTCTCTAGTAGTTTTTCAAAGCTTAATGAGAGGTTTAATGAAGTTTTCTTTTCTCTCAGTGTTTTCAGGCATAAATCTTTCCCTTTTCAGTGGTGTATCAATTTTTGCAGACTGTCTTATCACCTGGGAGTAGGAGGAAGTGAGCTGGAGGTATTTGCTTTCTGTCTAGAACAGATGTTCATCCCAACATTCTTGGTTGGGATGAACATCAGCAGAAGTTATTGAGGAGTTTTCCCAGGCAGGGTTTTAATATGGTCTTTGATGTCTGGAGGAGAATTCAGCCTCAGCCATACGGGTTTGTCTGAAGTCATTATTAATGGAATAGCCATAATGAAGAGTCTGTCCCACTGGAGAGTAAGAAAGGAGTAAGAGACTGATCTTTACTCATTGTCTTGTTTACAGAAGGGGTTATACAGCACTCACTGGCTACAGCCTGATAGCTATCACTCTGGGGGACTATTTTTGTGCTCACTAAAGATGAATTAGTGTACATTATTTATCTTGATTTTCACAGGATCCATTGCAAAGCACATCCAGAAAAGGAAGACCTTTATTCTCACTCATGAGAAAGATCTGTCAAGTCAGTGCGTGGTTTGATTGAATGAGAGCAGTGAAACTGCTCTCTGTGGTGGAAGATTTTTAAAAAGAGAGGTGAGTGGCATTTTTTTCAAAGTTTGACTGTGGTTACATGGCAGAAAATGTGAAATCCAATAAGTGAGTTGCCCAAAAATTAGAACCTTCCCTCAGAGGTGTGGGAAGGTGCTCTCTGTGTTAAACTAGTCATCATTTCCCCATGAGTGTGTCCCAAAAAGGAGTGTATTTGGGTCTGCTCAGGAAGAAGAGAGATGTCCTTGATTCTGAATTTTGAGGAATCCTTCATGGTAAAGAGGATAGAACATAAGCATGCAATGACTTTCACATTTCTGAGTGGTGGAACTGCTCATAGCTTTGATGAGTCCAGCTCATTCAGGCTGTGGTGTATCAGCATCCCTGGGAAGAAAACATGGGCTGCCAAAGCGCTGTGTGGAGGGAAGGACAAGTCAGTGAGTGGGAGTGACAGCCTGACAAGTTCAGTTGAGAAGTAGGGCAATAAATGTGTGGAGTAATAAATACTAGTGTAAGCCACTGAGATGATGGATTTTCCATTTACAGATTAACACTGGAAGCATTTCAATGGGATGTGTTTTACTCAAACAGGAGTTGTGGGGATTGATGCAGAAGTAACTGAGTGAAAATCTCATATAAGAGATTAGACCAGAATGTCTGATGGCCACTTTAGATCATATTAAAATTTTGAATGTTAAACTGTAATCTCTTTTTGTTAGATTTGAATGGCACTTCTTGGTGGACTCCTCAATATCCCAAGTGGCACTGAGGTTTCCATGGGATTGTAATTTTGCACAAGCCCATGCTGCATGCCTGAGGACACTTGGCCTTATAACCCTTGCTTGGGTAATACAGACAGCCAGTGGACCTGAGCATCTAAAAAAGACAAATGTGTTGTGGATGAAAAGGAAAGGAGAGTCAGTGAATATTAAAAAATATCAGACATTCATAGAAGGATAATACTGCCTTTTGGTTCAAGTTCCACAGATGGGTATTTAAAGCCCTCATGTAAATCTGATGAAGTGAGGGGCTGAGGCAGTTCTCCTGACTTCAGTGGGACCATTTTGAAGAACAGGGTTAAGTGATTCTTAGTGGACTGGGACAGAGAAGAATACTGACAACATGGTTATCTTTTGCATCTAGGGCTCTTTTTCAATCTCTGATAAAATTTGAACCACAATGGAAAGTACATAGTTGGAAATTGAAGAAGAAATACAAAGATCCAGAATTAAAATTCTGACTCTTGAGGCATAGCAGAGGAAGGGGAATACATATAAGCCTAAGAAGTGCACATGGAAGTAGTCCCCAGTTAGTGATATTCATCACTATTTAGGGATGACAATCACTGTGGAGCCATAGGGGGGCATAGGAGTAGGGTCTTTACTGACATTCTCCAGGCTGAAATAATGCCACTTCTTTCTACAAAGAAGTACTTGCCAAAGCTTGGTTTTTGGGCTGATATTTTGTTAGAACACCTAACCAGCAATGTTGAACTATGCTATTTTAATGTTCATAGGCAGATGTTATATTAATTTTTAAAAAATATTTATTTTTATTTTTCTGTGTAGAAAAATAATTAATTTAAATTCTAGAGGTCATGCTAAAGTGAAAAATCAAGCATTTACCCAAGCCAAAATTATTTTTCTCTTTTCATTTTGTGGGAACATGGAGTCCCTTAGGCATTTACAGTGTTTGGAAATGACTGTCTTACATGGAACTCTGTGTCATAGCTCAGATTCACAGGTTGGTATGGGTCATAATTATCATAGGAATTAGCTGAAGACCATAGCAATTAACTATTTTTATGGCTTATTATCATATTCTAAATACTAAATTGTCTGTCAAATAGTCTGAGAGATTTGATAGCTGACCCACAGACAGTGCACTGCCTTTGCTTACATACTTAAGCTACAAGTATTTCTAGGAAGATATAGCTTATTAATTCATTATTAAGATATAGCTTATTAATTCATTATTATTTTATTGATGTTCAATTGATGTCTGATTAAATATAAATTAGACACTTGGTAATAATAATGTAATAGGATGAGGCAGGTGAGATTCCCTCAGGATAGTTTGTAATGAAGCTTCAAGTTTTTAATAATCTTAAACTCATAAATAAATTATTACATGTGAAATAAATGCAAAAATACTGAAATAAGCTATAAAAATGTTAAGTGGTGGTGAAGAGACACATAATCTGCTGGGAGATCTGTGTGAGAATGTGCATTTGGCACTAAGTCACATCGCTCAGAATCAGAGCTCCTCTCTCCTTCCAACCATTTCATATTTAGGTGTGTAGCTACCCCTCCTATCCCATTATTATGCTGCACCATCCTGTTGCCAGACATTTTGCTTTGCCTGGGAACAGTGTTAATTTAATGCACTCAGGTGACCCCAGAGGCACTGGAATGACACGGCAGCAGCAGCCCAGAGTGCTGCAGTGATTCCTGCTGCTCGCAGAACTGCCGGGAGAGCGGGTGCTCTTCTGGACAGTTCTCTGTGAACTCTTCAGGGAAAAGTCAGGGGAGCTGTCTCTTTGACCATACTGTCAGTGCTGAGAAGGACACATCCTCTCACTTAGCTGAATCTTTCATCTTTTCCTTGGAAGACAGATTTCCCAGGTGTTCCTCTGTTTTTCTTGAAGAGTTATCAAGGAGACCATGTCTCCCTTAGATAAGAAAAGAGAGAAAGGAGAACTTACCATTATGTAAGAAAAGAAGAAAGCAGAAAAGGACAGGATTCTGATAGTGTATTTGCTGCTTTTTTTTTTGGGGGGGAGGTTTGGGTCCCAAATATCCTGCAAAGGTTTCAAGAGATCCAAACCCTCCAATTTCTTCAGTAAAACCAGCACCATTATCCCAGCCTTGAAAGACAGAGTGAGATCTCAAGGCAATACTCAGTGTCTGTGTTTTAGACTCACCATAGTGGGATTTGCAGAAACTCAGCACATTGAAAAAGCTCCTGGTAATTTGAAGAGTTAAGTCATGCAGCAGGTTAGTAAATGTAAAGAAGCATAGTTCCTAAGATTAATTTTGCAGTATTTTCATCAGTAAGGGATAAATAAAAGTTTGAAAATCTGGCCCTGTGACTATAGTCACTGGTTTAGACTTTCACCTAAAATTATATTCTAAGAATCTGATGGTTATTGAATGGCCAAAGGATTACAAACTAGAAATTTGGCTCAATACAAGGTACAGAAAAAGACAAGTATGCTGCTTTTCAGATGTGAGAGACCTTGGTTGCTAGGAGGAAAGTATTCAAGTGTTTGCTTATGTTTTCCTGGGGTGTTAACAGTGTGGGATAAACAGATAACACCACACCTCTTAAATAACATTTTCTTAAATAGTGAAACTATTCCCTAATGAAGAAATTGCAGTAATCATATTCTGTAAAAACAGGTAGTTATGGCATCTATGTAATTAAAGTGCTGAATTTTTCCAAACAAAAATCTGCCAGCAAATATATTTTTGCATATTTGTGTAATTGGAGATTGTCAAATCAAATTCTTGTTGAAACACAGAAAATTGTTGTCTCTCCATAACAGGGTAAGGAGAGAGGAGTCACATGTGTGATTTGTAGCATCCATAGCAAAATGATGTTCTTTTTGGTAGCTATGGTTATTCCTGTGCATCTGCCAGGAGGCCCATGGGTACAGAAAACACATCCAGCTTGAATCATTCTTCACTTTTTCCATGATGTACCAGGCCAGCATGGTCTGGTGGAACTGTTTGCCAGTTCCTGTCCATACACTTGCTGACACTTCTCTGGGGAGCCACATTAAGCAATTGTTTGGGTCACCAGATGTCTGTGCCTCCTCCTCCATGTGACAGTGAAGGCTGGGCTTGGGAAAAGGTCCTGCCCTGCTTTTGATGTTGTTTGCATACTGCCCAGATTTCTTGTGACTTGTGTTACTATGACAAAAAGCCCTTCCCAGGCTCTGCTTGCTGCCCTGGATATAGGAGTGCTGTTAGAGATGAATAACTGCTTTGCAAGATCCCTGCCACTTTCTCATGCAGGAATTAGAGAAGTCTTAAGGCTAGTTTCACACCTGGGGCTCTTCTTTTTTGCCATTTTGTTGTCCTGCAAGAAAATAAGATACAAATTACTTCAAGAACAGCACCTTCTGCTTCAACTTTGATGCAAAGGCCTTATCATTGAGAGAATTTACCTGAAATATTAAAAAGGCATTAAACAGGCATTCAAGCTGTTTGGAGCCCTACGTGCCTCTGCTGTGTGTACATAAAGCTCAGCTCAGGGAATGTAGCAAAAATTCTGCAACCTCCAGAGAAACCTACAAATTTGTTGTTCTGTATTTGCTCTTGTCTCCCTTTAAAAGGCTCCTATTTCTGCATATCTTTACTTAAAGTTACCTCTGGTGAGGCAGAGGATAACATTTATAGTAATTGATAATCAAAAGGAAAGAGGAAACAAAGGAAAAGGCCAATAATGCAAGACAATTATTAAGTGCCAAATATAATTTGTCAAAGGAGTTCCTTCTAAATTGGATGAAGGCAGCATTTTTTCAGATCGATACTGCCTCAGTGAGTCCAGTACAGTTCTGGTAGCTTTTGGCTAACAAAGAGGAATTGATATGTCCTAGGTGTAAACATTAAGACCAAAGAAGTTAGTGGATTAATAGACCTTGACTGTGGTCAGGTATTGCTGTAAAACTGGGATTGGCAATGTGCAAGGCTTGAAGCTGGCACAAATCACATCCATGGCCTGATTAGCTATGAGCCAGCCTCGTAGATCAGCACATCCAGAAGTTCAAAGCTCCACAGTAAGCTGAGCTCAGTAGTAAATATTACCAAGGAGTACATGCCCTGGTTCTTGGTGATCTTATTGGGAAAGCATGTATTGAATTCATTCAGAGTTTGAACTGCCTACCAGACAAAGTGCATTAAGTATTTGAGCCAGCTGTTGCCCATCTTTATCCACATATGTTACCCAGCTTGACACATTTAATTACCAATATAAGTTGTTCTTCCTGTGACTTAGTATGATACTATATTCTTACCCAGTGTTACTTTGGGTCAAATACTGTGTTTTATTTCAAAATACACGGTGGGAATAAAGAAGCAGGTGTCATACAACAGAGGAGTAACCTCATAACAGGAAATGGCGTTTCAACTAAAGTTTCAGAGGGGGAATGATATTCTGGGTATTTCATAGACCAGAACACCCTGATAGCCTGCTGACAGAGGCAAGCAGCTCCTTGTTCCTTAGCTGGTGTTCATCAGCCCTTACTGTGCCACAAGAGCCCTTGGCTCTGGCAGCAGAATTCTGCATCTGTAGGAACAAAGCCCTAGACAAAGTCTAAGGAAACCACAAAAACTTGTGCTGAGTCCCAAGAAACAGTGTTTGCAGTAGAACTTGGGCATCCTAATTCACAGCCAGCACAGATTACTAGAGACCAGACCCAGGTGGCACTCTGGTATCCCTTGGGAGAAAGGAGTCATCTGTACGTGTGCACACCTACAACTCTGGATCTGGCAGCCTCACACCTTCCTGAAGACAGCTCTGCAGCAGGAAGGAGCATCACAGCTGCATTTTTCATCAGGAGAATATGCTAATTTTTGCTGCAACAACTGTATATTACCTGGCAATTATTCTCTCCAGTCTCTTGGGTTCACTCTATCTGTGGTTGTGTTTAGAATCCCCAAAAGATTATGTCATAGATAGAAGACACCTGATAATATATAGGCCCTTTCTATTTTTTCTAAAGCTGTATTAATATAATTTCTTAGGTGTCGTCGTGTCTTTCTCAACGTCAATCCATTTTGAATCATGCAGACACATCAGGGAAAGAACAGAGCCTGCTGCAGCCTGTGAGCAACAAGACATTTCAGCTGGACCACTGCATAAGGGCTTTGCAAGACCGCCAGTATTTTTTTATATTCAGAGTTAAATAGAGCAATAAGATGGAATTTCAGCTTTAGTGCAATGGATTGCAGCTCTTCAGTCAATCAAATTATAGTTCAATCAGTTCATTTTAATCACTTCTCTGGAGAGAAGTAAACCCCTATGTTGAAGAATATGCAGCAATTTTATTGATGGAAAGTTTAATTGTTTCATTTTTCCTTACCGTCTGTAACATACTAGACTTTTAATCAGTGGGAACTGAAGTTATAATGAAGTAAAGTCCACTTTCCACAGTTCACAACTAGCTGAAAATAATTGGGTTGAGACTCCCATCCAGACAGTGTAATGCCTCTGGCATTTTCCTGAAAACTACACTTAATTGCTTTGCTGATGTTGTTAAGTGGTCCTAAGGGGGATGAAGTAGTAAAGCTGCTCACATATGCAGGGAAACAATACACAAAAAATGTCTTACAAGGTCCTTAAAGGAGGACCAACTAGTGACTAGAAGACAATATATTGCACTTTTTCCCCTCTTTTGGGAAAAGTGCAATATATTATACCAGAGAGAACACACAGGAGAGGCTGATAAAATAAACTGGAAATTCTATAAACACTATTTTTATTTAAGGGCAGTAAGCTTGGGAGCCGAAATACAGAAAACGTCAAGGCTCTTGCAATCAAACCTGCATCTTTAGGCTAGCCCAAGTTGCTTGGCATTTTTATGCTGAACACTGGTGAGCTGCTGCCTGTCTTCAGCACCTTGGCCTGAGGAACAGATGTACTCCTGTCCCCAGGGAGGGAGGACAGCTTGCTCTCTGTTCTCTAAAGTGACAGGATGTGAGCCAGGCATGAGCTGAGAGCCTTGTCCAGGCATCAGTGGGACCAGCACATGTACCCTGTTAGGCTCTAAATGTAGCCAGATAAAGAATAACACTTTGTCACATTTCCTTATTTGCTGAATTCTTAGGAGACCCTCCATGATTGTATGGCATTTGTTTAAAATGATGAATTAACTGATAGTCTCAAGGATATTCTGATGAAGAAATGCATTAGCTGTTTAATGGAGAAAAATATTTATTTAAGCTACTGCCCACTGAAATCAGTGTTAGAGCTGGAGCTGTTTTGTGGAGAACTATAGAGCTACTTTAGATTTTTTTAAGTGGAGGGCTTTTGTTGGGTTTTTTTTGTCTCTGTTTATTTAGATATGTGGGCACAGTAAAGTCTCTCTCAACAACCTGAACTTCCTCAGCTGCTATTTGTGTAAACTTCAGGATGACCTTTGCTTATTCTGTTCTTGCTTTTACAGGCTCTGAACTGAACAACTACCCCAACAACTACTGATGAATGTCTAGAAAGGAACATAGGCAAAATTGAGACATGAGGCCTCTGAGAATCTCTGAATTGACACCTCAAATTTTGGCCGGCATATCTCTCCCAGCACCTAAAATTATGCTTTTTCCATTAAAACAGGCTGAAGTCTATAAGGACTCAAGTACCTTGACATGTTAGCCTGACCATCCCCCCCTAATATTAATAAACTTTAACACATATTTCTCCTATGGTGAAATAATCACCCCCCATGTGCTGGAGCCGCCAACCATGTGCCAAGGAGATCAGCCCTCAGTGAGAAAGTGCCCTGTGTCCAATTCACTCTGCTTGCCTGTCTCTGAGAGAACAGCTCGGCAGCAGCAGTGCTTGGGCTCTGCTATTCCTGGGCTCTTGTTTTGCCATGAGTAACATGAATGGTTTGGAATGGTTTTAGCAAATGCACCAAATGAGGACTGTGTTGTGACAACTGATGGGAGACGGTGCTTGGGTTTCGTATTCTAAGAGATGCTGAAGGACTGGAGGAACCCGGGCAAATGTACAGTGCAGAGGGCAAATAACCAACCTGGTGTGGCTGGCTGAAATTTGCCTCTGTTTGTCTGGCTGGTTTAGAGGGTACCCTGCCACAACCCTTCTTTTGGGGACAGGGTTGCTGTCCCAGAAGGAGGAGTTCTTCCTGGAGCTGTAATGCAGTCCCAGCTGCCAGCTGGCCTTTATTGCCAAGCAGAGCTGCTTGCTGGGGTTCACATACTTGAAAGTCTTAGCCTGGGTCTCAGTGGAAACAAGGAGAAGAATGATTTGACACACATTCCCATGATTTGACACACATTCCCCTGATTTGACATACTGTGTGGTTACAACATGGTGTGTCCTCCACAAGAAATCCAAAATATGTGTTGCTGTGCAGGCACAAATCCGACTGTTCCTGATAAACTGTTCATGTGGAAGGATACAATTTGCATGGTTGTCATCAAACCCAGTGTATGTATTCATTTGTGGAAGCATGTCAGACACCATATGTCATTAATATGCCTTTGATATGATGGTGTCTGAATAATTTTTTTAACTGCTGAATGGCATATGTTTAAATGTAAGCATCTGTTCTGTGTCTGTACTGTCTGTATTATTTATTAGTTATTTATTATTTTCTTTTGACTAAAAGTTTGATTTAAACCTAGAAGAAGTGTGGGATTCATCTTATTTTTAAAGAAGTAGAGTTTTGGTAGTATTTCAGAATGTGGCCAATATGTATCTTCTCACAGACAAGATGGTAATTTAAAAGAGAATTTTTCCCTTTTCAGTAATCAGAAAAAAAAAAAGTTCTCAGGCCAAACAAATATTAGATTTGAGTACAAGTTGGTTAAATGAAAAAAATATGTTTTAGTGTTGGGCAGTTTCTGCAGTGTATGGATTTGCTGAAAAGAAGTCCTTGTAAGAGCCATATGTTACACCATGGTGACAGTAAATTGGTTCTACACAGAAACTTTTCTGATTCTGTTAAAGAACTTGTTGTATAATAAATGACTTGATAAAGGAATGAAATAATACATTATGTTTGTTAGGCTATTCATTATACAAGGAGTAAACTCAAAACCAGTGCCACAACAAAGAGACTCAAACGTAGTTATTGGAACTCATGAATCAACTGAGGCACTGCAGCACCCTTCAGGAGGCTATAGCCAGCCTAAAAGGCATGGTTTGGGCAAAAGCAGGGAATGACACTTTACCATGATAGGAAAACAAGAAGAGACTTTACGAGCCAACTGGGGGTACCTGAAGAGTCCTGATGAGAATGTCCAATGCTCAAGTACAGGAGGGCCTTATGAACCATTGTGAAGGGAGCAGCTGCACTGGGCTCACCAGCATGGTGGCAGAAGAAGCCCATAAAGAAGCAGCTGCAGTGGCACGTGGTGGCAGGAAGAGGCTCCTAAAGAAGCAGCCATGGTGGCACATGGTGGCAGGAAGAGGTTCATAAAGAAGCAGTGGCACATGGTGGCAGGAAGAAGCCTGTAAAGAAGCAACCACAATGCCACATGGTGGCAGGAAAGGGCCCAAAAAGAAGCAGCCATGGTGGCATACTGTGAATTGCAGAGCTACAAGTACCCACTCAGTGACCCCTCCAGCCGAGCTCTGTGAGTGTCCACGGCTGTGATGTTCTGCCTTTTGGCAAGAATAACAAATGTCAGCTTTTGGTGGACTTAGGCAGCCTGGGCTTCATATTCTGTTTGTAAAATTTGGCTCAGGCCTTTAACAGACCAATAGCCATTGCATATAACATTGGAAAATCAAATCTGCCAAAATCCAGAAGCTTTATGTCACTGTCACGGAGTCATAGCATTTCATAGGCACAGCTTAAAACAAACCACATCAAAACACACCACGAACAGCTGAGTGCAGCTGGTTGGAGGCGCAGGCCCTGAGCAGCCCAGGGCGCACCTGCGGCCATGGCACAGCCCTGCCCGGGCGGCGAGGGGCCTCGGAATCAGTCAGTGCCATCTTGTGGCATTTCAGGATATTGAAACGCCCCTGAGCTACAGTAACTGCAAATGTCCTTGGAATCCACCACAATTCCAAGAATTGCGATGGTACGGCGTACAAAGCCCGTACAGCTAAATTTGCTTGGCCATAGCTGCTGCGGCTGTGCGCGGAGAGGCTCAGCACCTGAATGATTAATGAGGCAAACGCCTACCAATTATGGCTCATTGGAGGGGCACAGATTAATGCCTGTAATTAGAAATCCCGGCAACAGATGGAGAATTTTGCAGTATCAAAAGCCTGCTCCTTATTAGCCATGCCCTGCGTTGGGCAAGGGGAGACCAGGCCGTGGTGTGCCCTGCACAGACAGCTCCGTCCTGGGACAGAGCCGGCAGCCGGCCAGGGCTGCTCCAGGGACCCCCGCCCGGGGCTGAGGCTGGGTCCCGCAGCCCCGGGGCTGAGGCTGGGTCCCGCAACCCCGGGGCTCTGGCTGGGTCCCGCAGCCCCGGGGCTCTGGCTGGGTCCCGCAGCCCCGGGGCTCTGCCTGGTTCCCGCAGCCCCCGGGGCTCTGGCTGGGTCCCGCAGCCCCGGGGCACTGGGTGGGTCCCGCAGCCCCCGGGCTGAGGCTGGGTCCCGCAGCCCCGGGGCTGAGGCTGGGTCCCGCAGCCCCGGGGCTCTGGGTGGGTCCCGCAGCCCCGGGGCTGAGGCTGGGTCCCGCAGCCCCGGGGCACTGGGTGGGTCCCGCAGCCCCCGGGCTGAGGCTGGGTCCCGCAGCCCCGGGGCTCTGCCTGGGTCCCGCAGCCCCCGGGCTCTGGGTGGGTCCCGCAGCCCCCGGGCTCTGCCTGGGTCCCACAGCCCCGGGGCTCTGGGTGGGTCCCGCAGCCCCCGGGCTGAGGCTGGGTCCCGCAGCCCCCGGGGCTCTGGGTGGGTCCCGCAGCCCCGGGGCTCTGGCTGGGTCCCGCAGCCCCCGGGCTGAGGCTGGGTCCCGCAGCCCCGGGGCTCTGGCTGGGTCCCGCAGCCCC